ACGTATGTTCGCCATTTCATCTTCTGAAATGTTCAATGGGAATTTTCGCAAACTTAATCTTTATCTCATATCAACAACTTTTGTTAAGCTTACATAGGAGAACAATAGGTAGTTCAAGGATCTAAAGGAACTCACAGCAGCAAACTAACTGACCTGAAACCATAAATAATCCTTTCGTTTCTTCGCGATGATAGTCATGATTGCAGTAGCACAGGCAATTATGTAATGTAACCAATCAATGAAGGGCATTGTGCGACTATAACCTATTTCCGGCATTAGAGTTATGGTCTCCGTTATGCTTTGCCTTCGTTGGCAACACCGTTATAACAAAGGGGAGGGACAGGCTGCTGTACGAACCGTAGCCAGAACGTAGGAAAAACCTCCAGGCACCTCTCAGAGGAAATCTCACCTTGCTCATTATATTTTTGTCATAGTAATAGCGAAGCGCACGGCTCAACTTGTCATAGTTCATATTGGGTTTCGACTTCCGCTCACCCCATCGGCGAGCCACGTCGTCGGGGTTGACCAGTTTGAACTCGCCATTTGTACCCTCCCAGGTGATACAGGCCAGGTTTCGGCTGTCCGACAAGAGCTCCAGTAAGAACTGCCACAGCTGAATCTGTCCAGATCCTGAAAATAGGTACAGGTAGCAAGATTTAGTGGAGTTGAAAGGATGATCGGAACAGGCTATTAGTCATGGGAATTTGTAAGAAAACCACAAAGAACGAGATTAACCCTCATTTCAATTTATCGTAAAGCCCAGCTAGTACTCAAATGCATGGTATTTTGACAGAACTGCTTAGGTATAGAGTCAGTTCAGTAGCGTTAGCACTCTAAGTCCTCGACGTCTCTCTTTTCAACCAGTGGTGCTTACCCCATTGGAATTGACTACCCAGTTAATCTTTCAACCCTTATTATCCAAATGTCTTGGAGCTATGCAGCCATCACCTCCCAGGCATAATTGAGTGTTCTTTATTGTACAAACGCCTAGGAATATCCATGTGTAAATTCCAGGCGAAGAGGCCCACCTCATCCCCCATATAATAAGTCCATATCTTATTAGTTTATAGATTCAGGTGTGACGCTCACCTAAATACACCGATATCCTTCAGCTTGCTTAACAGACGTGCTACTCGCTCCAGTTATTTTACTTTATCTGACGATATCCGAATATCTTCGATAACAGCATAAAGAGACAGATGCATCTTTCAAAGATACGTGCCAGATGCTTTCGAGGCTCCAGAACTGCGTAAAACCATAGCTTATAAGTTAAGTATTTCAGGAATTAGTACATTTTTCTAAATAGCAAACACTGCCCCTTCAAACCGTAGAGTGAGGGCAGGCATTAGTTTCTGAAAAACGATCCAGG